AATTAAACTCCGGTGCCTTGAGGTTATACTTCCATATGTTTGTGGCACAATTTAAGATATTTGGTCTTATCTGTCTGTCTCTCAGCAGGCCTGGGATCCTAATATAAAAACTGTCTATGAAACCGACTTTCTGGACTCAACAGGAGTAACTCTGATTCCCAAATGCCTTGGGGGCAAAGGCTGTTTGCTATTTTAAATACTGCAGCTTCCTCCTGTTCTTCTGTTCGTGACCACCAACTGTATGCCTGGTATAGTTGTTCCCTCCCTGATTCACTCACAATCCTGCGACTGCCAGAATTCCTGGTCATTGTGCTGGTTGTGGAGTCTGGGAGATGTAGTCCAAAAAATCTGGACAACTTCCAAATGGGGGAAGTTATAGTCTTAACACATTTGGGAAAGCATTTGACTAGGGATGGCTGGATTTTTAAATTCGGTTAGGAACTTTGGTTTCAGTAAGCAAGAATCTTTTTTTCCCTTGTCATTAAATTGTGCTGGTCATATTTACATGGACAGCAGGCCCGGACTATAAAAATAAATACATAAATAAATTACCACCAGGCTGTGCTGATAGATATATTTTTGAGTATTTTCTCATATTAAAAACCGGCCACATCTCCCACCCTCTCCAAATATTCCGATAACAAGTTCTAGGCTATATTCTCACTCACTCCGCTCTGACTTAGTTTTGTAGGTGTGTCTATGCATGCATCTATGTATCAAAGTATGTGTATAGATTATATGTATGTAATAGCTGGAACTTTTTCTTCCTGAAGATAGAATACAAGATCCTAAGTTAGACCTAGATAACTTAGAACACCCTTTGCTGCGTACAGGGAATTTTTGCAACCCAAATCTAGTAGCTTTATCCAAATTATAGAAAAGGAAAGGACAGACCAAAGTCTACCTGCAGTCTTTGTATGGAAAATGAGCAGCTGTTGAAGTTGTAGAGCAGGGGTCTACAACTGTAGAGAGAAATTCTGGGAGTTGAAGTCCACAAGTCTTAAAGTTGCCAAGGTTGAGGACCCCTGTTGTAGAGGCTCATAGTGCCCTTTCTTGCTTACTAGCAGGCCAGAGCCCTGGTTTTCTTCAGTTAACAGCTATGATGAGAAACTAGCCATCTCCAGAGGAATTTTCTAATTTCTCTGAGTGATCTTACCCAAGATTGATGGTTTTCTGTTGCCAGTGGCAACCCCAGAACTGAAAAGGTTTCCCATCTCCTGCTGTTACAGTGAAATTGTATGCGTTTGAAGGGGAGGAGCATTTAACTCTTTGCCCTTGCCGTATTCATATTAGAACAAAGTCCATTTTTCCCCTTGCCATGGCCCCATGAGCTATGCAGGTCTACATCTCATGATGACAGTCATATCTAGTGGCACCTGAGTGCTTGGATCATGATCACACGGCCATAGAGGTGATGCATGGCTGGGACTTTGTGGGTTGATCATATGTCCATTTTTTCCAATATTGCCATAACTTTGGTTGTTGAACAAATGGATGTAAGCTGAGGACTACTTCTACTAAAGAGATCAATCTGAAGGAGAAGAGAAGAATTGTTTTCTGCCTTCTGACTGGATGTCTGCAAAATCAGGGCTTTCAGTCACAAATTGTTAAGCAAGCTATAGTGGCTTGGCTCTCACACTAAAACAAAATGATTGGATTTATAAGAAAATTGCCTGATGGTTATATATGAACTAAGCTGTGGGCATTCCTACCGTGCTGTAATATACTTGGCATTATGACTAATCTTCCACTGGTTCACTGTGAGGGCAAAGGTAACTCTAAAAAACATTTGCTTTGGAACTAAGCCATTTAAAAATGGTCTCGAATCCCAATCTTTGCTGTTTGCACCACACCTTCTGAATCAGCTAAGTGGCCAGTTTCAGAATTGTCACCTTATGGCAAACTACGATCCATCCTGAATGATAATGGGCTGTACAGAAACTGAAACCTACTCAATGAATTAGGTACCTGCTCCATCAATGGCAGCTGTACTTCAAGTCCCAGGATGTGAATCATGTTAGGATTTCCTGGCTTCAAGGAAATGGGTGTCCTTGTGTTAGTGCAACCTCAAGTGGGGCTTGGTTTATGAGTTTAAGACTTTGGAAGCAGTATCCTAAAAGCTTTCTTGTTGGACGTGCCTAAATAAATAGCATTTACTGCTGAAAGGTTTGTGAATTTCAGATGCAGAGCGGGTAAGTTTTCTTAAGCGAGAATTCTACTTGGCCAGATTTAAGCTTGTAGATTTTCACAAAGCTTGTCCTGGGAAATGATTGGCCCGTGAGGTGAAATAGCAGATGTATACAGTAATCAATTATCTGTAAGCTTATTTTTTGCCCAGTGGGGGGCTTTGTCTGATAAAGTTCTTAGTATGGAAAGTGTGAGATCCATTTTGGCTTGTGGCCTCTTTCATGCTGTATCAAAGCATATTACTTCCTTTACTTATATATTTCAGTGTGAGGTCCCTTCCTAAACTGAAGCTGGACTCAAGAAAATACAGGTAGTATTACAACAGTTCACTTAGTGATGGTTCAAAAGTTACACTGGCACTGAAAAATGCAGCCTTGGAGGGGGTACAGTGGGCTTCTGGCTAAGGTAGATTTGCCCCATGAGCTAGAAGGAAATGGGCTTTTAGCCAGGTTTGCAGTAGTGGCTGTGATCAGGTGATGCTGAATCAGCTGGTGAAGCTGTTCCACCTGTTCTCCTTCCCTGCTCTCTTACTCAGGGATGTCCCGTCCCTCCCAGCCAGCTTACTGGCAGGAGCTAACAGGTAGATCCTGGTGGCCTCTTGAGGAAGTAGCCAATAGAGCATATGAATGTCAGCTCTAGCCATTTTTCCCCCCACAGAGTAATAAATTATGATTTGCTTTGTGATACTCAGTCAAGAGTTTCAGAGACTCGGGGGGATAAAATTTCACTGTTCTCAAAAGACGAAAAAGAATCAGTGAGTCTGTTTTCTGATCTACTTTCTGACTTATTTGCAAACCCACACCTTTTCCAAACTAAACAGATGAAACTAAAGGTGAAATTTGACGTTCTGACTCTTTCTTCACTTGTACTTAGATACTGGATACAGTATTCCTAAACACTTTTATTATATTGTAGCTATAGCTCTGTAACTTTTCTTCATCTAGGCTGACTACCTGGGATAGCTGCTAAAAATCTTACCAGGTATATATCCAGTTGTTACAGGTGATATTACAACAGCTGTTGTTTCTAACTGTATTTATGATTTGATGGAATGTGTTTGTGTGTCAATCTCATTTGTGCGAGACTGGGTTTTTAGGCTTAGTTTTTTTTCCCTTCCCCATTCCCTTTAATATTGATTATATAATCCTAAGAGTAGATTGCCTAAGTCAGGAATCTTCAAACTTGGTCCTTTTATGACTCATGGACTTCAACTCCCAGAATTCCTCAGCCAGCATGCCTGGCTGAGGAATTCTGGGAGTTGAAGTCCATGAGTCATAAAAGGGCCGAGTTTGAAGAACCCTGGCCTAACTAATTATCTGGCCATTCTCTTTGCTGCTCTATTTCTCTATCTTCTTCTTGCTATATGGAAAATATTCTAAATAAGAATGATAAACTGTTGCAGATGGGGCTTCTGCAAGGAAGATGAAGATGGGGAAAAACTCCCCAGCTCCAAATCTCAGATGTTGCCAAGTCACCTGTATCTAGGAATGTTGGGCCAGCATTCGCACATGTATCTTTGTGTATGCTAGAAGCCTTGTTGGGCCTGAACAAATCGACTTTAATCTTTTCCTTGCTACCTCCACCCTGTAAAATATATTGATTAGTGATTTCTTAATTATCAGTCTGAGGAACAGAATGTTTTATTTGTATCCCTGTTACTCAGAGGACTGCATGGTTCATCCCTCTTAATAAGAAAGTTGGGAAAAGCAGCACCTTCCTTTCTTTCTATGTAGCTTTTGATCTCTTTATGGTTTTATAATGGAGAAAGAAGTTTTGGAATGTGAGGCAAGTTTTCCTTAGTGGGTAGAAATCCAACCCTCGTCTCCCTCTATCAAGATCTGATGTTCTCCCGGACACAGTAAAGGAATAAAAGTTTGCCAGGGATGGAATCTAACCACATATCCAAAGCTCACTGTAAGTGTGTCTATGACCACAATAAACTGAAATTGATTTTTTTTTAGAAAACCTCAACAGTATATTTAAGAATACTGAAAGTGGGCCTAGAAGCATATGTTTCGAAAATGCACATTGTACATTGAACACACACATTTGGAAAGTACTATTCACTAAGTAGATGCTCTGGTCTCATTCATGGGCTGAGAGTGCTAGGTGCAGCATTGAGCAAAATTGCAGCTTTCTGTCCGATTCCCATTCACTCCAGGCTCAGAAGAACAAAGAAACCAACTTCCATTAAAAAAAACCCAACAACCCTCACTGGGTTCTACAACTGGAAGGCTGCCAGAAAGAGCCTTCTGCAGAACTCTCTTGCTCTAACTCTCTGTAACCCAGTAGACAAATCAGTGGAGACAAGGGAAGATAAAGTAGACACTGAAAGGTCTGGAGAACAATACAGCAACACACCTGCAGCTCTTCCTCCTCTCTGATGCCAGTTACTTGTCACTGTATATGAAGCCCGAGCTCCAGTGAAGAGTGCAATCTATATTATTTCCCCTCTTTAGTCATATAGCAAGCTTCCCTTTGATCCCTGTCAGATGTATCAAGCTATTGTTCTCATCATCCTAGCCAGGGGAAAGATGGAAATTGCAGCCCAAGATATCTGGAGGCCCTCAGAAAGGAAAAAATAAATAAATATGTGGAAGAAAGTTAGATTGAGAGCTGATAATCTGCCCTGGCAACCTGTTGTGTTTTAGAGGGACTTGAATCTAGTTGTTCTGTGGCCAGATCCAATGTTCTCACTGAACTGGGGCTAAAGCAGGGGCCAAAGCTAATGGAGCTTTCAAGGTAGCTAGACGTGGGCACCACATTTCTAGAGAGATACATTCAGCATGACTGCTTGCTTCTCTCTCTTACAGAACACATCCCCGCTGAACTGCGCGAGCCCTTTTATACAGACCAATATGAGCAGGAGCATATGAAGCCTCCTCTCATCCGCCTGCTGCTGTCCTCCGATGTCTACTGCCGTGCCTGGTGCCAGGCCATGCCTTCAGGCCCGGATGGTGCCCTTCCTCCAAAGGATAATGCTGCCTTGCTGCAACTTTTGGGCCATCGTGGCTTGGTCCCCACCTTTCAGGACAAGCCTGTTAAGGAAGCTGATCTGCATCACAAACCAATCAAGCTGGTAAGTCTGGAGGCAAGGAGGTGGCTGTGCTGCTAGAGGCAGCCTTGATCTGGTGCTGCAGGAGGGGAGACTGTCTTTCGTTCAAATTGTGCAGTGAGATGAATGAACGAATGGTTCTCCAGATCTTTAGTTGGAGCAGGTAGTAGAGTACCAACTCAGAATTCCTTGAAGGGTTAATTCTGCTAATTTACTCAGATCTCTTGGGTTATCCATGGACAGAAACTCAGAAATCTTGATTAGCTTGCTTTTATTTTGCTTAGTTCTGTCACTACATCATCATAAAGAAAGAAGCTGCCCTTTTTTTATTAAATACATCCTTTAAATTTGGAATAGGGTTGTCCTATACAGGTGGGCAGTTAAGCCTTTTATCTGTGATGTTGATGAGAATGCCTCCCAAATGGAGCATCTGCCAAATCACGCATGCAGGAAAAGGAGATGGTTTTGTGTAAGGACCCCTCTCAAAGGCATTCTGGTAGATGTCCTGCAGAAGTGTAGGGCTACAACTCCCATCAGTTGCAGCCAGTAACTGAAAGGCACTAGCTTGAGAAAAGGATGGAGAAGAAAAGTGTTAAGTGAACTATTCTTCCTTCTATAGGCATGAAACTTCCCAGCAGCATCCTGGATGAGGGACTAGGTAAAGTCCCCAAGGATGCCAGGCTGGATCCCAAATCGCCCTCCTTACTGTGTTTCCCCTGTCTGCTGAATACCAGGAGTATCCCATGTATGCCTCAGCTTCAGGGTGGGGCCTTTGCAGGCTTAGATCTCAGCCAACCCGTGGGAACCCCTTCCCTCCTCTTTTTCTGGGTGGGAACATTGAGGTGCAGCTAGAGCCACCCCAGAAGTAATTCTTCCTCCCCCCCCAGGACTTAAAGTACCTGTTGGGATTGAGGATCCTGCTCCAGCTCCCTGCAGCCACCCTATTTCAAGGCTGATATACCTAAGGGCTAAGATGGGTGATGAACAGCCACAGTTTTGATGGTTAGAGTTGACAGATGTGTACATCCTCATTTTGGAAGGATAAATCAAACACCTTTGTTTAATAAGAAAATATATGAGAATTCAGATTTTGTTTAATGTGGGCACCATTCTGGCAATTCCCATTATGGCTAGAATGTGTAGAGAAAATACAAGAGGGAATAAATGTCTTTTTTTCTTCTATTGCTGCCCAAATCGGGAGCAAAGGAGAAATTGCTCTATCTCTTTTCTATCATTAGAAGAGTGGTGGGGATTCTCTCTCTCCCTTTTCCTTCCTAACGATACGTGTGGACACAAGTCCCAAAGGTGCTTTTCTAAAAGGCAGTTGGATTTTCTTGTGTTTTTTTTTTTTCATTGAAATGTTTCACTTCTCATTCAAGAAGCTTATTCAGTTCTTTGCCTTTTTTTTTTTTTTTTTAAAAAAAAAACACCTTTGGGACAACCATGACCTGGATGATTCAGAATCTCTGTAAGACATGTGGACACAATTATTTTTTTTTACAAAATAAAAGGAAGTAGATATGTCAACAGCAGTGGAAGGCATCTGTAGAAGTTACAAGATGTTCAGGACTTGATTCTGGAAAAGTCGGAAGCCCTGTAGATTGCTAAAATTCTCTTCTTTGGCCTGATCACTGATGACGAAGTATCACCAAAAGAGTGGCTTCTCCCAAGTTTTCTGGTCAATGCTAGGATGTTTGAATTAAACTTTGAACTCTGATAAACTTACTAACATCTTTAGGAATGGGGATTTCTGTTCACTGCCTCCACGTGCCAGCAGTTGTAATTCTTCTGTCTGGGACTCAATATGTGGAAGAGATAAGGATCACTCCAGCTGTTGAGGTTCTATCAGCAAATGTCTAGTAGCACTGGTTGGCACTGATCTGATCTGACAGACTGATAATTGATTCTGCTTTGGGATTTTTATCAAGACTGGAAGGAGGGATGGAAACTGCAATTAACTGCTCAGGGATGCTCTTCTTCCTTTGCTCTCTTTTGTGAGATACGCTAGCAGTGGAGGAAGTTTGAAGAAATTACGGTGTTTTAATTCTGGTGAGATCTTGGGAAAGTTCTCTCTCTCTCCAATACTTTGCTTTGAATCTGGTTCTGAATAAATGCTGTGGAAAGCAAAAGCAAGTCAATACAAATTGTTACTCATTAATGCAGCTGTGTCTTTTTTTCAGCATTATGAGGCTCATGTGCCCTGCGATTCTGGAATCCTCTTCAAAGATGGGTTTAACAAAGCTGAGGATCAGCAGCTCTTTGAAGGGGATCACATTGGCTCATTGCCAGCAAAATGTGTCACAAAAGATGTCACTTGAGAGTTGAAAATGGCCATTATTCTACTTCCCTGGCCTGTGTGACACAGTTTTCATGCATTTATCCTGTCTTATCATGTATTCAAACCTGTAGACCTTGGCTTGGGCTAGGTTTGTGCCTTTTCCTTGTGGGGAGAGAAACCCAATGTTTGGAGCAAAGGAGGAGTAACTGGGAAGCAGAGTAGCCTTTTGCTGTGCATTTTATCTTGCATCCAATCTCTTGAGGTTTGTTAAAAAACAGCTTTGCCATGAAAACTTGTTTTCAGGTTTTCCTTCAGGCTTAAGGTGTTCCTTTTCTGCTTTCTTCCTCCTTCCAATTAACTCTCTCCCAGGGTTTATTAATTACCTTGTGAATTTATTTTTTGATGCTGAAGTTCTTTTTGCTGTAGTATTTAACATCTTAGGAAAGTCTGAGTGCGCTATAAACGTATTTCGAGATTCAATATTTGTGTTTACTGAAGATGAACCAGCTCAACCTCAGGACCAGCACAGCCCCTCAGAAGTTGTTTTTGCATAGTAATGTTTATTGAGATACAAGGGAGATGCTATGAATTTGATTTTTTTTCTCCTTGTCTTGCCTACTTTGTTCTGGCTCTACTCCCATTTTAGAGTATTGTCATTAGCATATAACTCAAAGTTCAAGTGCTGGGTTTTTTCTTTTTTTTGGCTCAGAAAATATTACAAAGTTCTGGCTTCTAAGATTTAGTTGCTGCCAGGCATCTGCTGAATTCACATTCTCTAGTGGATTAAAATATAAAACCCAAAGGCCTTTCTAATCCAACAGAGGCCTCTGAAATCTATAAGCTGGACAAGAATGGATAATATTCTCTGCTTATTTTCCAAGGAGCCAGTAGCCCATAGCACAGTGATGGCGAACCTTTTAGAGACTGAGTTCCCAAACTGCAACCCCAAACCCACTTATGCATCGCCGAGTGTCGGGTGGGTATGGCCCATTGGCTGGGCGTGGCCCATTGGCTGGGTGTGGCTGCAGTGGTAATGGCAGACTGCGTGGGACTAAAAAGTTCAATCAATTCCAACTTTGCAAGAGCTTTTCTTTTCCCGCAAGAAGTTGAAATTGACTGATTGAAACCCCCCCCCCTTTTTTTGCACATGTGGCGGAGGCCTAAAGTGAAAAGGTTTTATAAAACCCAGCTGAAGGCCTAGGACAGTGCGCGTGCCCACAGAGAGGGTTCTGAGTGCTGCCTCTGGCACCTGTGCCATAGATTCGCCACCACTGCCATAGCACATGGTCTCCAATACTGGAGGTAATATATAGCCATCATGAATAATAACCATTAATTGCCCTGTTTTTCATTAATTTATCAAACCTCTTTTCAGACCCATCCAGGTTTGAGGTCTCACCTTGTGTTAATAAATAGTGTCATCATAAGTGGGAGCCAGACCCATCCAGTCTTTGACTCACAATCTTTTTTTTTTTTTGTAAAAAATTTTTATTTTCAATTTTGCAATACAATACAATATTAAAAATACTTCAGATAAAAAATAAAACAAATTAATACAGACCATTTTCGGTATTGCTCACCCATTTCCCCCCAAACCGCATCCACCCTCTAACCAACTTACCTCTTTCCCTCTTCTTTCTCTTTCTCCCTCACCCCTTCTCCTCCACCTTCCTACTTACTTCTCACCTTCTTCTATCCTTTCACTCCGGATGCGGTCCGGGGGAAATGCCTGAGCAATTCCTCTCTCCAGATTGAAACCTCAATATTATATACAATAAAAACTATTTCTACTTATCTGAACTACTAAAATTTCAACCCATCCTTCCCCCTCCCCCTCCCCCTCTCCCCTCCCCCACCCCCCTCCCCCCTGACTTCCCAGAGCTAAGTACAGGATTATACAAATATATTAAACATAATCTATTTAAGTTTACTAATTATACAATAACCAAAATCATACTAACCCTTAACTCTCTTCAAACTTTAACATCATAAGTTTATAAACAAATTCATTACTCATAAAATAAATGAAACTTTGTAGTTCCATACTTCTTCTGAACATATTCTATCCATCTTCTCCATACATTGAAATATCTCTCTTGTGAATGGTCCTTTAAATAAGCAGAAATTTTGGCCATTTCTGCTAAATTAGAAACCTTAAATACCCATTCTTCTAAAGAAGGCAGAGTATCCTTCTTCCAGTATTGACCCACCAATAATCTTGCTGCTGTTATTAAATTCAACATTAAAATAGTTTCTTTAACATCAAAATCCACAAGAATACCCAAAAGAAATAACTGGGGAGTAAACTTAATCTTCCTTTTAAAAACCTTTTGAATGTTCCACCAAATCATAAACCAGAAGGCTTTAATATTTTTACAAGTCCACCAAACATGAAAATAGGTTGCATCCAAGCAACCACATCTCCAACATTTAGGTTGCAGGTTCGGGTACATACAAGACAACTTTTTAGGGTCCAGATGCCTTTGACTCACAATCTTCTCTTGCACGTTCTTATGAATGAAAGTTCCTGCTATATAAATTGGGTCTTGTTTCTGTTAAAAAGCCCTGGGCCAAAGAAACGAGTCCAGTTCTGTGAGAACTGGGCTTAATCAATAGGCAAAGGATGTTCTGCTGTCAAATAGTTCAGTTCCAAGACTTAACATCCAGGACAACTGAACGTTTTGTGGTCCTTTAATCAACAGAGATCTTCCTTGGGACTGCCTTCTTACTCTTAGAGAACCTGTCTTGGTAGGATTTATATTGCTTAAATTCCCAGATTTACTGGCTGGGGCTCTGGTCTGAAACAGAGATAATAGTGAAGAAATATGTACTGGATTTTGTTGTGCAGATCTGCAATCCTCAGAGAGTAGAGTTGTATATATGTTGATTTGGGAAAATGTTTACACAATACTCATCTCGTTTCACAGATGTAAAATTTATATATATATGCCATAGATATACACACACACACATATGTATACACAACATGTACACACACACACACACACACACACACACACACAAACAAGCATTTGTTCAGAGTCACCCTTACTAGGAGACCTTACTCATTTGATCCCTGGTTTGCATCCCAGGATTTAGGTTATGCGATGAAGTCATCCACCAGCTACAAATATAGATTGACTTCATCCTTCTCTTTGAATGGATGTTCAAAGATACACATAATAATAGTAATAGTAATAATAATAATGATAATAATAATATGCTTCCCACTTTTAAGACTATCCGCATTCCTATTTTTTTTAGAAAGGTTTTCTTAGAAAATTAGATTTGCAGAGAAGAATGAAGCCTAGGCTTTCCCTATATGCAGAAAGCATTTTTGGTGGAAAGCAACAGATTTGGTATGAGCAAGAAAAGCTTTGTCATCTGATTCTGTTTGCTAATCTACCGTGTGAATATAGAGTGAACCAGGATCCTGCTATTTTGTTCTTGTTACCTTTTTGCAACTGTAGAAACTCCAGTAGCGCTAGACATAGGCACTGCTGTAGATATAGGTTCTCTGCCTCTCCTTAAGTAAATGCAGTTTATTGAGTCTCTAGTTTTCCTTTTTAAGTTAACACTGAAGGGTGGCTGAGAAATTAGCTCAGTTCAATTTTTAATTTAAGCTTACCTAATTTGCACTTTCTGAACCTCTGTGAACTAGAAGTGTAATTGTATTTGATGTTTGTCTTGTGTTAAATCCTACAGTACAATTCAAATTTAAAATTCATGCAAATCTTCATACTCATTTTTAAAAAATTGTCAACTGATGCAGTAATGAGGAACAAACAAACTTTGGAAAACCGAACCTAAGAGAAATTGAACAAGTAGAAACCACTGTAACTGATTAAATTCCTTGAGTCAGTGCTATGGACAAGTTTCCATTTGTTGATGCTATGCTTCTAGGTTTACTGGCAGCAACTGTGTTTAGCCCTTTACATTGTGTAGATATTGTAGTGGATATTTTAATGATAGGAGCTATAATATTTGAGAAATGTTGTATTCGTTTACTTTAGAGTTGCAGTGAGCAGCAAAATAAAAACCTGGGAATTATCCCACCAATGATAAGATAAGATAACCTTTATTGTCATTTTTTTTACTGTGGATACAACAGCACACATCAAAAATGAAATTTAGTTGCCCGCTTTCAAAGTGAAACACATACATGACACATACCTAAACAACACATGTACAAACCCATACCCATACATATACATAACAAATAAATATTAAATACTGTCCATCTTGAATATATAATGGAAGGAAGAAGCTTGAGAGTTCACAAGGTTAATGCTGCATGGAATGAAACTATGGCTGAATCTGGATGTTTTGCTATGGATACCATGAAGCCTCCTCCCAGAAGGTAACAAGGAAAACAGATCCGTGGAGAGGACCTGTCTTTCACTTTTTCCCTTATAGTAGAATGCCTTTGGCAATTGGATTATTCGGCTGATGTTCTCACTGAGGCTTTGAAGAGTTGTTACTTCTGGATCAGCAGTTTTTGGATCTGATATTTTGTTGAGCGGTGTTGAAAGATTTTGTGTTCAAGATTCTGGAGGACTGGCAGATGGCATATGTAGTGGTTTACCCAGGTATTTCTTAACAGTATTAAAATCTTAAAATGGCCAACCTAGCTTTAGGTAGAGATGGGATTATAGTGGAAATTAACTTCTTCAAATCAAACAGAAAGAACTGTGTTGTCACCATACTTTTGCCAGGATTTGTGGTCCTTTGCAATTTGTGCCTGATAGGTTAGTCATATTTGATGTTCTAATAAACTTCCAAGCATTTCTGAAGTTCCTTACCTCAGAGTTAATTTTTATTTATGGTTGGAAAATTCTATTCAGATAATTTTGGGTGATTGCCTTAAAACATATGACTTTAAGATGAATAATTCAACATAAGATTATTTTTCAAGTGTATTGGACCTACTGGGTAATATATGGCAACGATTGGGCTTCAGCCTTTATTGTTGAAAGGTGCAGTACCTTGGAAGAATGAGTCTATTTTCGGATCTGCTGTACATTGACACGCTTTTGGTTTAATATTTTTATGGTGATAAATAGGGTATTTGGAAAAAAGAAATAAGGATCAAAGATGCGAATGTGTTGTTGAATTATATTCTGAAAATTTGGAACCTATTGAATGATGAAGCATTTTGAAAGCTATTCCTGCTCCAGATTTACATTCAGTTGAAATATGGAAGACCAGTGTGGTAATGAGAGATTAAGCTTGCTTCTGTCTACCCCATCATTGGTACTAGTCCTTGTGTCATTTCATACTCTGGAAGACAGTGCCAGTGTATGTGATTCCCATTTGTGGAGTAAGGATGGCCTTAAGAGTACTGTAGCTTTTCTGATTCCAGTTTTCTTTTTTTTTTTTTCTCTTTTTTCCTGCTTGACTTGTAGGGGGCACACCTGGCATTAATTGACTCTCTGATGACAGCATTTGCATTGGAAGCCACCAGTTCATTAAATGTTGCATTGGGCATTGAGCCAGCAGCCATCTCTTGGGACCAGAAACTCCTACGCTGGATAGATATGGTATTAAATGTTAATTCATTTACATTTTTTCTCTTTTATCTCCATCCAAGGAGCTTATGCATGGGAATATCCCATTTTCTGCACATACCAATCCATGTGAGAGAGGCCAGATAGAACACATTTGAAATCTGCCTCTTTAGCCCAAGTACATGCTACTGATGACATGTGAAATACAGTGCTGGGTTAAGTGTGGTTGGATTACTTAGATCAACTTCCCCACCTAATCCCGTCTAGATTTGTGAGATTAGAATTATTATTTCCCCTCCCCCCCCCAGGCCCCCCATTTCTTCAGCCCAGCCTGGAAATTGAAGAAGGCTTAGGTTGTGAAGGTTAAGAGCAGAGGAATGAATAGTGGCAGAAGACTGCAGTTCATCTCAAGGGTAGAGGAAAGGGGGAAAATGCAATATTGTACTAAATTATTCTTAGACTATGTCCTCATGAGAAAGATGATGAAAAAATGTGGATGGCCTAAAGCAGGGGTAGGCAATCTTGGCTCTTTTATGACTCGTGGACTTCAACTCCCAGAATTCCTGAGCCAGCATGGCTCAGCATGGAAATCTCTCCATTTCTCCTCAGCATGGCTGGCTTAGGAATTCTGGGAGTTGAAGTCCACGAGTCATAAAAGAGCTAAGGTTGCCTACCCCTGGCCTAAAGTAAGCAAAACCCACAAGGGCCCATGGTTTAGGACCAGAAAAAGGAGAAAAGGGGATGAAGAAGAAAGAAAGCCGCATCTGGCCCAATGTTTTGTGTTGCATATGTTTGCAAATGATTCCTTGTTGCCGCCCTGCAGATAATTCACAAGATACAACAGACTGCGGATCAGGAGTCCTCTCAGCGTTCAGCTCCTGGAACTGATGGCCAGACCCCAGCTTCCTGCAGTGGCCCCAAGGTGTGGGTGCTTTCCTGCTATGGCTATCCTCCTGAGAGAAGCAGGGGAAGGGGGAGGATGGGAGAGTGGCGTTCAGACTCTGGTTTAACTTGGGGGTGGCAGCAATTAGGGGTGCTGCTGCATTCATTGAAAGAGCTTTCCCCACACTGGCTTTGTTATGTTTACAAGTTGCCCCTTTCCCTCACCATTGCCTTGGAGGATAAGAATTTGCTTCCTTCCACCCTCCCTCCTCTTGGGAGAAGGCCTCTCTTTCACTTGTAAAGCCAAGGCCACTCTGATTGGGCTGACTTCCTGTCTCACCTTGTGGGTGGCCCGCTTGACTGCCAGCAAACGCTGACCCTTTATTTCCCCCCCCCCCAAAGCTGTTCATTGGGGCTGGCTGGCTCTGCTGGGCTGAACTATTGAGCAGTGGGGAGTAGATGAGGGGCAACCCTGTTTCCATTCCTGGTGGCCTCAGTGCCCCTATCCCAGCTCCACGGCCTCTTTGGTTGCCTGTGCTGAATACAGTCGAGGTGTGGTATGTGACCGAGCTGTCTTTTTCTGCATCTCTCTCCTCTTCTCCCTCTGGCCTCTCTCCTTCCTCTGCTTCAGTGTCCCACCAGGTGGTACTGGAAACTGGTTCCTGTAAGTGGGTGGCTTTATTTATTATCTCCCTGCTGCCTTGGCTCCTGCGCTGCATGACAGGGGGGCCCAGAGCAAAGGATGCTGGGGGTTTAGGACCTTGGGACAGAGGTCCCTGTGTAGTGCCTAGGTAGAGCTTCCCTTGGAGAAGATTTTGGGTGACTTGGTTGGTCTGTTTCAACAAGCAACCAATCTCCTAAACTGAGATGATGTGGGGGTAGAGGGAAGACCTGTGGCAGAGACTCAGAAGGTTCCCATAGGAGACTCCAGCTGCTGGGATGCTGGTATATCCCAGCATCCTTTGTTCTCTAACCCTCCTCCTTCCACTCACAATCTGTACCTGCTTTGGTCTCTCTTAGCTCCCTGTGTCCTCCTCTGGGGGCACTGGAGGAACAGGTTATTCATTGCAAATATAGGTGGATTCATATGTGTCTTCATTTTCTGCCTTGATTACCCAGCCTTCTTGGGGTTGCAGGCATTTGGGTGGGGAGTCTAACGCACTGGTTTCAGAAATCAACAGAAAGCCCACTTGTTATTTATAGGGAGGGGTTAAGAGACAGCCAGAGCAGGGCAGTTCATGCTTGGAGCTGCCAGTAGGAACCGCATGCTAGTTACCTGGCATGTCATTATCCCTTTTCCCCTTTGTGTTGCCTTCTGCCCCCTCCTCCCTTTGCCTGCTGTCCTGCTGTACTTGGTGCAGCTAAATAAAGTCTCAGAGCCATCTTTTTCAAACTTGAAATCTTTTAAGATGTGTGGACTTCAATTCCCAGAATTTCCCAGCCAACAGTTCTGGGGGTTGAAGTCCACACATCTTAAAGTTGCTAAGTTTGAAAAACAATGGTGTAAAGCAGGGGTGTCAAACTTGCCATGTCACGTGATGTGTCGCAACGTATCGTGACTTTTCCCCCATTGCCGGAGCTGTGGTGGGCGTGGTTTCGGCATGATGCATCCAGCCTGTGGGCCGGCAGTTTGACACCTCTGGTGTAAAGGATAATCTCTCCAGGTCTGTTGAGATCCAGTGTGTTGGTATTTAGGAGATGGGATGATCCAGAAGGCAGAGGGGTTCTCAAGATTTCAAGTGCATGCTGGGAAGCATTCCTCTAGTTCAGGCCTAAGTTAAGTACTGGTGGCCCCTCCCCACATCAGGGACCCCCTTCCCCAGCCTTGCAAGGCAGCAACCCTTCCCTTCTTTCTCCCTCCTGGTGGGTGCATTGATCAGGCTCTCTCTTTTCTTTGCTATTGCATCCAGCATGCCATCGCTTTTTGTTTGAAGGAGTCGGGGAATAAGCCTCCTGTGGTAATGTATCCATCGGCGTGCTCACCTGCCCGCCCACCTGCACCTCTTTGCCATCCACTTGGGTTGCTGTTCTTGAACTTCTGGCTGTTCCTGCTGCAATGGGTCTGCCCTTTTCCCCCATGCAGCCCCAAACTGCTTGGGGTTTCTCAAGAGGCGAGCTGTCCCCTGCGCCCTCCTACCATTTTTTCAGCTGTTTTTAATCTAACAGCTTTCTTTGTTGGGTGCAGTTGCACACGGCACTTGAGACCATCCCTCTCTCCATGGCTGTTGGCCTTACGTCCTAGTTGGAACTGAGGACCGTAATGATCTTGCATCTCTTTAGGATGAAAATGCAATGAATGAGAGCTGGGGATTTTGAGGGTGCATTTTCATTGTCAGCAAGATGCCTTATTACTTGAGACTATTTCTGTATTCTCTCCAGAATTATAAGTACAATCAAATTTTAGGAAGACCACCTATAGGTGTGTATGTTCATCAGTTTAATCGTTGCATACTCTAGCTCCCCATCTTCTTCCCTGGAGGAGATATCTAGACAACAGGTTAGAAGAGGGATTTAGTCTCTGAATTCTGAATTCCTTGATTCTGCAGGTTATGGAGAGCAGGAAGTTGTTCTCCAAAGCTTGTTGAGTCTGGCCAATTCTTAGATGCCACCCAGCAGTTCCTGTTGATCCTCCCTCCAGCTCATTTCAGCAGGAATGGAGGTGTCCCATTTGCTCCCTTTTATTTCTCCTCCTCTTCGCTGGCCTGCTCAGTATCTGTGTTTGCCTGTCTGTGTCCCCCCCCCCCTCCCTCCCTCCTTCCTTCCTTCCCCTCCTTGCCATGTGCACTCTTGATGTGTGACCTGCCCTGCTCTCTGTGTGTCTCTGCTGGGAGTGCTGCCTTTGTTGTCTTGTGTGCTGTGTCCTGGGATTGAGGACAAGCATATACAGAGTGGTAAAGGATAGTTGATAATTTTTTTTAAGCTGGTGATGATGGTGGAGGAACTGACAACTGGATCTTCCACTTTTCCATTATCTCCAAAGTCGATCCTTTCAGTTGGACTTAGTGGGGCCACGCCTCACCCTGTCCCAGCCTAGAGTCACTCTGATGGTTAGCCATGCTACCTTGGAATTTTTAGTGTTTTAGTGTCATGCAGATATAGGGCATCTGCTTACAAAAGGCTGATCTAGCCTCTGGGATCTGGCCCCCCTCGGACTAAATAGTGGGAAAGGATTCTTGTTCTTTAAGATCATTCAGAAGTGTTCCTGAAATGACCTTCCCCCCCCCTCCAATAATGGCTGTGTCCTCCTTCCTGCTTTCCGTCTCGTCTCCGGGGCTCCTGCAAAGTTCTTGCCTGCCCATCCCTTCCTGCTTTTATATCATGTCTCCTTCCCTGCATGCAGTTTGCTCTTGGCATCCAGAGGAGGGGAGTGCTATCTTTGAGGGGAGTGGCTTGATTTCAGTTGGTCCTTTACCCGCTGGGAGCTCTCCCTGCTAGTGTTTGTGAGGGGTGCTGCATGGGACCAGAGGAGCTTCGAGCGTGGGGCATGGAGACGGGAGGGCATTGTTCCAGCTTCTCTGGCACATGGGGGCCAAACCCCACAATCGTGACTTTGAATTCTCCTTGCATTTTTTTTGTTTTGTTTTGTCCTGCTCAGATCCGCTATCGCAAGGATAAAGCACTGCCCAAACAGACGCCGTGTTTCCCTGCCATCACAGGAATAAAGGACCTGGCCAGTGGAGGGGCCATTGCTGCCACAATCCACTACTACTGCCCGCAGCTCATACGCCTTGAGGGTGAGCCTTGCTCTGGGACTGAGTGGGAGGATGGGGCAGCTGTTCAGAGTCACTATGAATGGCCCTCGTTTCCTTTTGCCACTAACCTCCTTGTGTGCTCTCTGGTAGATGTGTGCCTGAAGGAGACAATGTCGGTGGCAGACAGCTTGTATAACCTGCAGCTTATCCAGGGCTTTTCTTCAGATTATTTGGGTGGTTCCTGTTTCCTGTCATTGGAGGACCTGCTCTACATGCCCCCACTGCTAAGGGTGAGTCCTGGGACTGGGTGGAGAACGGCAGGCTCTGCTACTTGAGAGGCAGAAAGGTGCAGGGAGGAGCCTGCCTAATTGAATGAAGAGGAGCTCCCTGGAGTAAATGGCTGCCCTGACACAATGGGGATGTCTAGTCCCACATCCAGAAAAGTTTCTCCTGTGGAGTAAATAGGGATTATTGTTTTGTACCAGCACTCAGCCTGTCTCGCCCTAATAAGTCTTGGCTGATGTCTCAAGCCACATTAATTAAAAGCTGATTGTGCAGAAACAACGAGGCCCTTTTAAGGTAGAGGCTGGAGTGATGCTGGAAAGAAAGAGAGATTTGGGTGCGAAGATGGAATTGTTACCCTGCTTGCGTGTTGCATTCTGAGAATTGCTGGGGCGGTATAGGGCAGAGACCCCAGTGCTTCCCTCCTGCTCAAATTCAAGCCAAGGGAGAGACATGTTTCCCCCCCCACCCTCCCCAGGACCCTTGGCTCACTCCCTGCTTTGCTTCCCCAGGTCAACGTCGGAGTATTCCTGGCTGAATTGTTTCTGTGCTTTGAGGTAGTAAAGCCAGATTTTGTGTGTCCAAAGGAACTGCCAAGAGTTCAAGGTAAGAAGATAGTATGTCCATTCGCTGCCATGCCTGGGCCTTATAACAAAATATCTTCATGAGAGAACTATTTGTCTCTCCACAACTATCAGGCCTTTGCCCTCTTGTAATGTAGAAGCTGCTATTAGGCAGGACAGGTTATGCAAAATGAGATACTAGGTGGGCGTATTAAGTTAATGTGCCTCTGAATATGAGGAAGTGGATATGGAAAAAAAAAAAGGAAAGGCCATTGGGTAATAGAGGAGGATGTGCAGACATCTTTGCTGCAACCATCTTAATTTTCAGTTGCATATTTTCACACTTCTTGCAGCTCTACAACTAACGCTGCTCCTTTAAAAAAAAATACTCAATTTTAATTGAAATTAGTGGAGCTTAAAAGCAGGAGTGATTTATGTAGGTGTAATAGTAGGGATGCTTCCATGGATTGATTGAATTTTAAGAAGAAATAGATTAAACTAAATTTTGTTATATCATGTGAGGAAATAGAGGGAGGATTTTTTTCTTTTTTTAAGGTATTAATTTTAGTTTTTTATATATAATGTTTTGCTATGATTGATCACCCTTTCACCACGGTGTTTTCCTGAGCACTTTGTTAAAATTTAAAAAAGCACTTTGTTAAAATTTAAAAAAGCACTTTGTTAAAATTTAAAAAACCAATAAAATGTGTATTAAAAAAATATTCAGGCTCTCACATTTTAGGGGAGTCGATCACAGATTGTATATTTTTTCTTAGAGAGTTCTAAACCTGAAAACAATCTGTTAGGCTGTTTTCTGACAGGAAGGCCAAAGCATAGCTTAAGTATCCCAAACATCCCAGATCAATTTCATATAATTTATTAACTAAAAGAATGAGTATTTTCCTTCATATAATTCGTATCCATTGTAGAGTATTCTGGGTATTTTTTTTCCTCAGAAGTTTGCATTGATTACTGCATCCTTGTTAACATCCAGGTTCTTCCAATTTTTTAGAACTTAGAAGCAAGAGATTTGGAGTTTGTATATTACAAGCACTTCTGTCCTCTTTTCTCATGAACATAGGATTTTTCTCATTTATTTGGTATACCACATGGTGAATCCCTGTCTAACTGGTCAAACTGGAGCAATCTGGTATATAGCCAACCTGTGTACAGCGTATACATGCACACCCCCACAGCTGTAATTTGGCATTTGATAGGGGACTATCACTGTTGCTCTTTATGCCAAATACCACATCCCAGCTAGTGAAGCTGTAGAGCCACAGCAAAGTCTGCTGTGATCTGGCACGGCTCCATTCTGGAACAATGGTCTCCTTTCTGAGCTGAGATCAGAGCAGGCTTCTTTCCTGCATCTGGGTACAGGTGGCTGATACTTCCTCCCTCTTCTGACCTTCCACCAGCATAATTGCCCGTTTGAAATCTCTGTTTTTCCCCCTTCCCTGCTTTTGTAGTAAAGCTGCTGATCTCTTTCAGATTCCCCTGGCCTGAATGATGCTTCAGCACCAAATAGTGGGAAGACAAGGTGAGTGAGTCCTTGATATTTCCACCTACAATTACCCCTGTGGTATGTGTGTCCTGTCTCCCCTGTGCTGGGAGCAGGTAGCTAAGATTCTGTGTATCAGGAAGCAACACTGAGGATTTCTAAAGACAGATAATGGATTGTATCTCATGAATAGATCCTTTCCTGCAAAGTAGTTATATGTCAAATTATTAAAGGAACTTAACAACAGTTCTTCCTTGTCATCCCCTGCCAAGAGTTCTGATTATATAAAAAGAGCTGCCTTACCTTAGTAAGGGTTGATTCAGCCATTTTGTGTGACATTACGTGGAAAGGTAGAGAGCAGGCAAAGTGTGTATATACTTGGTCTGCCCCCAGATCTCCCCCCCCGCCCACCCAGGGCAGTGGAGAAAGTTGTTGCTCTGTCACCTAATCTAATCCAAATGCTAAGTTGGTCTCTGGGAACCATGGAACATGCATTGCATGTTGCAAATGGTGCTTGTGACTTCCTAAGGTTAAATATAACAGGTTTTACATGAAAAGGACTAAAATGGTCTGATTAGACTTCCAAATCTTGCCAGATTTTGGCTTTTAATTTTTCTTTATTTTGGTACTGGGCCAAGGACTCCATGGACTTCTGGTCCCCGGACCACATGTTGAAATCTTTAATAAAGATGATTCTCCTTTTGTAATATGTCCAAGTACCTTTTGGGTTGTGTCTATTTCAGAGCCTGGTTTTTTTTCACTTCAGACACGGCACTAATCCAGGGTTCCCAAACTTGACTTTCCTGCTGATAGTTCGATGCTTGCCCACAGGCCTTTTTACATGCTAGAAGTCTCTTGAAGTAAACTTGGATCTGGAAGGAGTTATTCCTGCTATTAGGGTGGGGAGAACTCACTGTGTGTGTTATTGTGTCTTGAAGCCTCCTCATGTTTCAAGCTGTAGAACCTGCCTTGGCTTCAGGGGAAAAAACTTGAGTCTGGGTTGTTCTGAAGTAAGAGTAGACTGCTACTTGTTCTCACAAGATCTAATTCTTGATCAGGAGAGCCTCCTTGATATACCTCGATTGAGTTGCATGTATAGAGGAAAGAGTCTTGGCCAACGATGCAATTCCCAAATTGCTTCAGGCTGTTAAAATTTTTGTTTTTTTGAAGGACAGAAAAAAACCTTTCATCTTATCTCTGGCACAGCTCTCCTCTCATTTGCAAGTTATGGGAATGCCTGTAGGCAGCAAATTAGAATAACTTGTTTCTACAAGTCAGTGAATATACAATCATTTGATCTACCAAATGAATGAACTGACTGACTCTTCACCTTATATAGACATATGTCATATTTATATACGTGTCTGTGTGTAGTAATTTTACGATTGTATAATTTCTTTTCGAGTTTTTTTTCATCCCTCCTGCTTTCTTACTTTCTCCCATCCCAGGGGACAGAACTATTTTAGGGAGATTTGTTGCTTATTGATGCAAATCCTGGCTATTAGTCCTGTAATATTCTGGCTATAGTTCTGTCTTCTTGTGTGCAACAACCTGAAACATTATCCCTGTTTTGATCTAATCTTTGCTTCTTGCTCTTGTTTTGTAGTAGCTCCCCTGTGTTCAGCTTGCGCCACCCACTGCTGCCTGGAGGACAGTCACAGTCACCGCTCTGTGGCTCCTTAGGTAAGATCTGGCTCCGTCTTGTGGTACCAAGTACCTTTCATGTAGATATAGAAAAAGAAAAGTTTTGCTGGAAGTACACGCTTAAGCCACTCATATGTGGCTTTTGGAAATCTAAACGGTTATCTTGATCTTGGCTTCCAGCATTTCAGGGTGGTTTTGCATGCTCAGTGCTGGGTAGCCCTCCAGTTATTCTGGGCTGTGAACTACACACGTCAGGGAAAATGGAGGCACATTTAATTTTGTTGGTTTAGTTATGTGATAAGGATGTACTCCACCAGATGTTTTCAATTATGTAAAGCAATTGTGGCTTACTTCTTTGCACATTTTCCCACTGAGTTCAGTGACACTTCTAAACCTACGTGCTTAAGATTGTACTGTATGCAAATCATCAGCCTTGGATTTTAATGAAATTCTGACCTCAAAAAATAATAAGGTAGATTAAAATTATCAAAGATTGGCCAATCTTAGTATAATTGTGAAAGGTACTTCTGCTAAAGTAGAATATCGTTGCCGTTTCTCCATGTTGCTTGTTTCTCCTTACACTGATCTAATGTGGAAATAACTGTCATCCCAATAATAATCTTCCTGAGATGCTTGCCATTCTGTTTTAAAGCAGGCCTTGAATCCTGCTACTTGAGGAAACCACTGGGTGATCATCTTTGGAGTTGTGCTTTGTTGTGACTTTCTGTCTTTATGCACGTAGGTTCCCTGCATCATTCCACATCCATGTCCCAAGTAGAAGGCTTTGGCAAATCATGGAGCAAGAAGCAGCTCAGGTGAGACGGGGGGAGGAGAAACTGTGGATTATTTGCTGACACTCCTGAAAAACTAGGAAGAGCTACCAGGAACCATTTGGGAAGAATGCAGAACTGCTGATTATGCAGCCCTTGGGATTTTAGCAACCAGAAGTTTGTATAATGAAGTGGCAAAAGTTAGGTGAGGCAAGGAGGGAAAGAAGAATAGCAGTAAGGAAATTACTCAGAAACTAAGATGAAATGAGCTGGAATAATAGAAAGGAAGTAAAAGGCTAAATTACTAAAATGGACACAGTAATGTGGTTTTTTTTAGCAACATATGGAAGTGGTTTTTCCACTTTCCAGTCTAGCCTAAAGTCTTGGCATTTCCTAATGGTCTCTCTTCTGTATACTAGATAGGAGTAATACCAAGGACATTAATTTGCCTTAGGTAAAGTTTGAGTCCAAAGGCAAAACCTAATTGAATAATTGGCAGTTAGTGGTGTCTGTTTACATTTTTAAATAGTATTTTAACAGATGGTAATAGGTTAAGATTGATTTGGCTCAGTCACCAATAGAGTTTTCTGCAAATTGTAATTTTGAATATATTGGCATTCTGACCCAGAATTCCCAGCTAGCATCTTTGTGATTATTCTGATATATCTGGAAGTGCAGGGAAGTTCAGGGAAGGTGCAGCAGGACATTTTGTCTGAGATGGAGCAGAAACCAGAAGTATTGTTCACATGGTAATTGTGTTGATTCAACTTCAACAACATTTAAGATGTGTGGACTTCAACTCCCAGAATTTTCCAGCCAGCAATCCGCTAAGGTTGAGAAACAGTGTGGTAAATACTGAACATGTTCAGAAAACTAAATAATAATAATTCTTGGTTAGGCCATTGAAAGAATTGAGGTGGCACAGACCATGCTGGCAAAGAATTAGGGACACTGAACTCCAAAATGGTTAGACATGAGTTTGAACAAAGGCAATTTAATTAATCTGGTTCTAATTGTTCCAATTGTAACAATAATTGCCTTTGTTGTTTTTTAAGAAACAAAAATGAGTTTGTCTTTTATCAAGGTGGAAATAATGTAAATGATTTTTTTAAAAAAATAAAATCGGTATTGGTTTATAAATGTATGCCAATTTAATTATTAAAATAATGGATTTCCTGTTTTCCCATTTTCAAAGTTGTACTTAGGATTGGTTTGTATCTCTTTAAACTTCCATCAACAGTTAAACAGTTCAGTTAATTAAAAACAACACAAAGCAAGATGGCTAAATAATTAAATGTGAAAAATATCTGCCTTCCACTGCTCGACGAAAGCTAAATAAAATATTCTGCATAATTTGTTCTGCTTTCTAGTTAAGAGAATAAACAAAACATTGGATAGGACATTGAAATTTCTACCTGCATCTGATACCAGAGCACCTGACCTCTACCACCTCATTTCTGTGGCTTTTTAAGCTCATTAAGAATCATCCCCAGACTTCCAAGTGTTCCTCCTTAAGTCCAGGAACTTTAAAACTATAAACTAGAATTCTCAGGAAGTGTGAGGAATACTAGATGTTTAGGTTAGAGTCGTGTAGAATGTTGTAGCTATACGTTTGGATATAGAATTGTGAAAAAGAAGCTATACAATGCTGAGGTAGAAGTTGAAGTTGGGCTTTCTCAGCCAATTAATATTCCTCTCTTTTCCTCTCTTTTTCAGCCACCCCTTGTCACAGGCAGTCTCGTTCAGCATCCCTTTTGGCCTGGACAGTGATGTGGATATTGTGATGGGGAACCCCGTGGGCATCCTTCGTTCCGTCAGTTCTGACAGCCTGGCACCGACCCTCTATTCCTCCTTGCCTCGCTCCTCCCATCCATGGCCTACTGAGGCTGCTGAGGCCCCAAATGGATTAGTAATGCCGTCACTCCATGGGGCTGGACACAAAAATCAAGAGGGACCGACTCTAGAGAATGGCTTAAATGATGGCTACACTGATTTGCCCACCATTGAGGAAGCCCTGCAGATCATCCACAGCAGTGAACGCCTGGTCCCTGAGGGAGCCCCTGATGGCTTTTATTTGCACTCACCAGAGCCTCCTAAAACTTCTATGCTGGAAAAGACTCCCCTGCCCACAGTTTACCGCTGCCATAACGGGCCCCCCAATGGTGCTGAACCCGCGCAAGAAGGTAGTCTGGACTCTGATGCTGAGGAGCCCCTACGGCTTGCAGGAGGCCCAGACGATTCCACCTCGGGTGTGAGTTCCCTGAGTTCACAGCCAGAGAGCAGTGCCTCCTCCGCCTCTGGTGTGCGCATGACCAGCTTTGCAGAACGCAAGAAGAAACTGGCAGCTACCGATAGCAAGTCCAGCGGGATCAGCTCTGAAGGCTCAGAGGCTGGTCAGGTGCCATCAGAAGAAAGCCCTGCCCAAAGCCCTGCCCTTAGCTCAGAAATGAGCCAGTTGAGTTCGCGGTTGGAGGAGAAGCGCCGGGCCATTGAGGCTCAGAAGAAACGCATAGAGGCTATATTTACCCGGCACCGTCAGCGCTTGGGCAAGAGTGCCTTTCTACAACTGCAGAAGGCTCCTGATTCTCAGTCTGAGGACAGCCGACTTGCCCTGGAGGAGCGGCTTGCTCAGCTAGAGGCCGAGGAAGAAGCTGGAAGCCCGCGTACCCGTCTGGATAGTAAACAGGTTACTTTCTCTCCTGATATCACCAAAGGCGATGAGAACCTGGGCGATTACAACCGGGCAGTGGCCAAACTGAACACGGCTTTGAGCTCACTGCAGTTGGACATGCAGCGCCTGAGTGAGCAACAGCAACGCCTCATGCAGGATAAGAAGCCTAGCGCACAGGCCTGGATTATCCCAGCCCCGAGGACTGGCCGCGAGGGAGCTCCTCCCCGCTCTTCACTGGAACTGTCCTCCCCTTCTCCTTCCCCTTCCCGCAAATCTCGCTCACCCCAGCCCACACCCAAGAAGTCCCCAGCCCCGGTGCCTCCCAAGAGTCCCAAGCACACCCGGCCAGTTGAGCTAAAGCTGCCACCCCTCACACGAGTCCTGACACCGCCTCACAACGTGGACACCCTTCCACACCTCCGCAAATTCTCCCCAAGCCAGGTTTCTGTGCAGACCCGTTCCTCCATCCATTTTGCTGAGGAGGAGAAGCTGCCTGTGCCAGAGGTGGAAGCCCAGAATAATTTGCGGCCGGTGGCCTCTGTTCCTCCACAAGGAGGCAATGCTCGTGTTTCAGGTGATGGCACCAGTGATGTCTCCTCACCCAGTGATCGACATAGTAGCCTGATTGAAATCCCTCTGTCTAGCTTAAAAGGAGAGGATGATGAAGACATGGATGGGGATGACTCTCTGGAGGAATCAATTGCTGAGACTTTGGATTCTGAGCCCCGTACAGGTCTGGGCTTCTTTTTTAAGGTGAGGATTTAACTCTTGGCTACTAACAATATTCTTAATTACCTGACAGAGCTTTCTGCTCTCTTAAAGACCTTCTGGGGGGAAGGGAAGGAAGTTGGCTTGGGCTTTGGATGATCTGTAGACCAGGGAACATTTCTTTTCAATGCTAGTTGGTTCAACATAATAGAAGCAGGTGGAATATCAGATTCTGTCAAGCAGGAAGTGTGTCCCAAAGTGCCACAAGCTTTTTTAGGAGCTTGCGGATGGGAATTGTCAGCAAAAGATTTAAACTGTGCATGTGAATACGTGCAAGCAGCTCCTGTTTGAGAAAACTCCTGCATAAGGAAAATATTTTCAGAGCATTTTTTCTATCTTGCCTAAATCACAGCAGCAGCAACTTCTCTAGCAATCACTGCACATTTCTGTGGCATCTAGAATTGAAACTACTTGTACACCTCATGTTATGAATGCTGGAGAGTGAAGATCCTGAAGTGCAGGCACTAACCTTCGTTGCAGCTAAAACCTGTTTACTGACTTCTGTTTGCACGACCCCTTTCAAATCTTGATAGTAAGCCTGCGGCCCCTGACATAGCCGCACTGTAGCACTTGGTCTCATCGGTTTAAAATAGGATTTGGTTGAAATCCGCTACAGACAGAAACGGGCATGAGTAGCCTGAATGGAAGTGTGCAAGTCCTCCAAGATGAGCGGGAGATGATTGTCAGAGTCTCCAATCTGAGGGAGGAGAGGATAAGACTGACCTGACTCTTTTGGAAGCCAAAACTGATGCTGATCCATTAGGGCTACTCAGCTGACATGTTTTTTTTCATACAGGATGAGGATAAGGCCGAAGAGGAAATGGCACAGAAGCGTGCCAGTTTTTTAGAGAGACAGCAGCGGCGCAGTGAGGAGGCACGGCGCAGAAAACAGTGGCAGGAGACAGAGAAGGAACAGAAGAAAGAGGAAGTCAAGTAAGATGTGATGAGCTGTCATATATTCGCCGCTCGGCCTAGTGCCAATTAGATAAATTTCCATTTGATCAATATCCCTTGTGGAATTCTGACTCCTTTTTTCCCCCCAGACCTCAAACCGATGAGCAGGCCCGAGTAGAGGGAGAAGTTGGGCCAAGGCGTGGCGACTTCACGCGCCAAGAGTACCTGAGGCGTCATCAACTCAAATTGATGGAAGATCTAGATAAAGTGCTGCGTCAGAAGCCCACAACTGTTCGTGCCCTGAAGAAGGGACGGCCTAAAACAGTCTTCTGTGATGATTCTGCCCTTGCCCGCAGCCCTGTCAAAGGACTCCTGGGTAAGAGTTAGGACAGGAGGGAGGAAAGGGGAAATAGTCCAGTTCAAGCAAGACAGGAAAAAATCTGTAGGAGGCCATGGTTTCTCTAGAGAATTGAGACTGAAGAGTCCTCTGGACCAGAGGCCCCCAACCTTTTGGGCACTAGGGACCGGTTACATGGAGAGAGGCTTTTCCACGGACCAAAGGGGGCCTGGTTTTGGGTGCTGCCTGCATCACACAGATGGGTTTTTGCTTGTTTGTGCGGTCCAGTTGCTGGCATGCTGGAGGTCAGTACTGGTCCACGGACTGGGAGTTGGGGACCCCTGCTCTGGACTGTGAGGAAGGGATTTCAGAGACTGTGATTATGTTGCTCTATCATGATGTCATTGTCTACTTGTATGCCTATCCTTTAGTCCCCAGGATGATTATGAATTATTAAAGATGGAGGAGGTCTTAGTTGGTTCTCCCTCTGCCCACGCTGGCTAGGTTAATCTCTTGTATGGCTTTAGGGATTCCCAGACGATTATTGCTGGTTAAGGTTCAGGCCAAAATCCTTAGAATAAGTACAGTTCTGGATTTCATTACTTTTTATTGATACCTGATCTTACCCAATTGGGTGCATTCTGGGCTTTCTTTAACTGCGCCATAGATAGCTGGTGGTCTTAGAGGTGGTGGGGATTAATATAATTTCTAAACATAGCTTGTCAGACAATTTTCAACACTTGCATCAACACTCTGGAAAAATAGTTTGGGAAAGGAAAGTGGGTTTTTATCAGTTTGATAATACTTGGCTCCATTCTCTGTTCTAGAGTCAGGTCTTGCCTTTATGGTGTCAGCTACAGTAGTGTCTTGTTTGTTTCTGAATGCAGTGCTGGTTATCATTTTAAAATTCTTGGTGACTTAGATCAGAGCGTTTGCGGGATTTTCTGATAGGTGAAATTGTGCCATCCGTTAAGATGAGATTTGTACAGTAATGGGATTCAGCCAGTTCACACCACTTCGGCAGAACCGGTAGCTAATTTTTTGTTGCCCAGGCCCAGAATGGACTTCCGGAAGCAGTATCCACACAGAGAACTGGTTGTTCACATATTTGAATCCCACCACTGGATTTGTACGTAGGTCTGCCATCATCGCAACACACAAATGATTTTTGTTAAAGATGCTATGAAGCAGTCAGCTGAGCTCTGCTGACAATGGAGGGTATTTCTCCTTTAAAGCAAGCATTTGATTCCTTAGTTGCTTAATTGCATGTAATGGTTAGTTTTGATTTAGTATCTTTGGAAGTTGCTTCGTTGATTTTCTTTTTTCCAATAACAAAAATCAAGGTCTGCCAAACTCTCAAAATTAATGAATGAGCTTCTTGGTGTTATAAATGAGAGGCTACTATGCCAGCTCCTATTGGTATCCATTTTTCTTAGGCTCCAAACTCAACAAAGTATACTCTCAGTCAACTCTGTCTCTTTCGACGGTGGCCAATGATCCTGGCAACTCCCTCTTCATCAAGAGAGCTTCGCGGTGAGTAGGCATTGCTTCTCTATATCGCTGGCAGGTGGGCGAGGAAGGTTTAGATCTGGATCCATATCCAAGAAAATGCATTTGTGTAGAAACGATTGCAGTTCTCTTAAACCAGGGTTAAATTATTTATCTGTTCCCCAGAGCTGCATCACCTTCTGGGCCAATGTCTCCCAGTCGGTTGCTGCCAAATCAGAACCGGGAACGTGACTGGGAAAACGCATCGACTGCCTCCTCACCAGCTTCTATTCCAGAATATACTGGTAAATCTTATTGTTATTCCACAGATCATAGCTTTGCTCTCCTGGCATGGTAGAGGGTGATTGGCTAGACTCCACACTTCTAAGTGCCCCATATTGAAGTGGCCTTGGCTATGTGTAAGACCATTCCAGTTCCATCTTCTTTCACTGCAAAGTGTTTATGAATGCCTCTATTTTGGTCTGCTTTCCTTCCGACGGGGAGAAATATAACCTACTTTCTATGCTAACCTCATTGTATTTCTGCAGGCCCCAAGCTGTACAAGGAGCCCAGTGCCAAGTCCAATAAATACATCATCCATAATGCATTGTCTCACTGCTGCCTCGCTGGCAAAGTCAACGAACCCCAGAAAATCCGTATCTTGGAAGTAAGTTGAGACACGGTGAATATGAACCATGGAAAAGATGCAGTCTTTCTTTTTTGCAGTCGGCACAGCGTGCAGATGTTGGTATCAAATCTAAGTAATTGCCTTAAAAAATTGGGACAATTGTGGCTGTAGCTCTGCATCAATAGCTTTGGAGCTACAGGCAGTCCTCGGTTAATAATCACTCATTCAGCAACTGGTTAGCACAGCACTGAACATCTGGTCCTCAAAGTTCTGGCCATTTCAGCACCTCCATGGTCTTGTAATCACAATCTAGACACTTGGCAACCGGCTTGCACTTATGACACTTGCAGTGTCCCGTGATCACAAGATTGCTATTTGTAACCTTCTCTGCCAACTTCCCACAAGCAAAATAAATGGGAAAGCTGGCAGGGAAGGTCACAAGTTGCTCTGAAGTTACCCACTTTGCAGCAGCTATCACAAAGCTCACCGAGGCATGCCAGTTCCTTGTGTACCCTCCTCTGCCTGGAAGCAGCCATCACAAGCTGTACTTGTACTTGCGCCTCACTGGCCCTCACACACGCTCCACTGCTCAAGAGCAGCCACTTTAGGCCTTGCCCCGTGTATTACATACTAGCCCCTCCCTCACCTGGTAACAGCCACTTGCCTGCCTGTCAGCTTGCTGGGACTTGTAATTCCCTGCTGGCTTACCCATTGACTTGGATATTGGAAGCAATGAGGGGGTTGTGAAGAGGTCCTTGCTTAACAACTGGTGAACCTCGCTTAATAATGGCAATGGAAGCTGCTGGGATTGTCACTGCTAAGCGATGCAGATACATATCATGCATTATGACTGCATCACTTAGCTACTGAAATTCTGGTCCCCAATTAACTGGGGACTACCTGTAAGTATATTTGCATTGGCTTAATTTAGTAGGCTGGATGCTTCCTCTACATAAACAGATTTTCCTTCTGATGTCCTTAAGTATATGAATTATTGACACGTACTATCATGGTATGGGTAGGCAACTTGATCTTTTTTGGACTACACTTCCCATACTCTTTGGCTATTGATTGTGTGCTGACAGTATGAAACATCTGAAGAGCCCCAAGATTTAAGGTTTACTGCAGTTACAGAATAAACAGAAAGTTCTAGCTGCATTCTTTAGTTGTGATGAAAGGGAGAAGTACTAACAACTTAATCATTAAGAAATGTAAATAGCTAAGCTTTACTGTTGAACAGTTGAGTCATTTTAATGGGTGCAAGATGTCGATACTATAAAACAAGGTCAGTCTTTCCTCTTTGTGGGAAGAAGAAAACAATAGGGCATTTAGTATTGCTCTCCTAATTTGATTGGATGAGCATCTATAACTTAGAATTCTGGTTCTTCTGGTTCTTCAGTAGTTCAGGAATTGTTTTGTGTTTTATACTCTGCCCTTATCTAATCTTTGATTACATGTTTCTTTTCTCTCAATCTTAGGAAATTGAAAAGAGCAAAGCAAATCACTTCCTCATTCTCTTCCGTGATTCAAGTTGCCAGTTCCGGGCGCTCTACACCCTGTCTGGGGAAACAGATGAATTGACACGTTTAGCAGGCTATGGGCCCCGCACCATTACCTTGTCCATGATTGAAGGCATCTACAAGTATAGCTCTGATCGCAAGCGCTTCACTCAGATTCCCAGTAAGACCATGTCCATGAGCGTGGACGCCTTCACTATCCAGGGCCATCTCTGGCAGACCAAGAAGCCAGGCACCCCCAAGAAGCCAAGCACACCAAAAGAGCTGTGACCTGAAGAATGTGGTGTTAGTCCTACTCTCTGCCTAAACTTAGACCCACGACATCTAACAGCTGGCCTTCTGCGTTGGATGGCTTGAGTTGACGAGGCTGTTAGACGTGGGTCTGAGACCGAGTCCTGGGCCAGCACTGTCTCTGGCTGGATCAGAGTTATCTGGGAAATTCTTCTGGTGCCTGCTTTGAAGATGAGACTACTAGTGGCTGCTTTGGGTTGTGGGACAGTATGGGGTTGGAAGACCAGGATCTGGTCCCGTAAGCTAAAGTCTCGAGAGTTGCCATAGTAATACTACCCTAAATAAGGGTTTGCTTCTTGCCTCTAACCACTACCTGAATGTTAATGCGCAGCCAGAAGGAAGAGTCTATTTTTCAGACTCCTGTTTGCCTGGAAGATTCTATGTTGGTTTTTTTTTTTTTCATTTCTTGGGTCTCCCTGTTTATACTTATACATACTATACATATATATATATATATATATATATATATATATATATATATGAGCTATTTAATGATTTTTCAATTATTTGTATATAAAAAAGAACAAATTTGGAACAGCGGGTAGGGTGAATTTGTATATGAAGTTGGCATGGTGGAGGTAGTACAGAGCAAGGTGTGTATGTATGTATGTTCCTTCCTTTTTCCATTGAACACCTCCCTTTTGTCTACTCCCTTATTTACAAGGGCTATTGGGTGTACAGCTGAGAAAGAGCTGTTAACAGGATCTCTTTCTCAGCAGCTGCTGTCATTTACACGTTGAGAAGCTGGTGGCTGCTACAGTCATAGAGCAGGTCTCTGTGTACCCCGAGTTGAACTGCCAAAACAAACTCCAACCACTTTAGGGAGGAGTGTGGTCCATCTTTCTTTTTCTCTCCTTCCTCCTTTCTTTCTCCAAACCCTGTTTACCTGCTTCCAAGGCTATAGGCTGAGTATGCAGCACTCCAAAGAGACAGAGGAGCCTGGGCACAGAATGTTAAGTAGCCCTTGATTATGTGAGCCTCATTTGCCATCCCACCTTGATGCCTCTGGATAGAGGTTGCTTGCAAAGCAGAGTAGGGGAAGATGTGAGGGAACCAGTCTAATTCAGCTTGGATGCTTCACTCTGATTCTGTCTTGTTCAACCTTATTCCGGTCTCTTGTGGCTGACTGAGTGTCATGTAGGCGTCTGGGGGTATAGCGTAGGGCTGAGTTGATGTAAAAAGTGGGTTGGGATTTTTGTCCTTCCCGCTTAATAAAGTAACTTAAATGAGCTCTTTACTGGTCATTACTCAGTGAATGTTTGAATCTTGAAGCCTGTACCACCGATAAGCAGGCGAGGCATCTTTGCTTCTGTGCAAGTCTAGTGGATACTGAAATTAGAAACTGAATGCCACAGAGTTCTGAAAGGTGCTCATTCACCCCTACTTTCCATAACATATGGTAGAATATTTTAGAATGAATATTGCCCCTTGATTATTTAAGGTAAAAAAATGCAGGCACACGGAGAAATCTACATAAGTGGAGGAAAAATGCAGTTGTCTGTGTTCAACAAAGACTGAACTCAAGATGGGATTAGCTCCTATTGTCATGCATCTTAAAAATATTCCTACCAAAACTTGTTAGTGGAACTGAAAGTTATACCGTGCTCAATGGACATGTCCACTTTTTCGTACTTGTTCAAATACATTTAAGCCATAAGGTGAACATACTCTTCAATTTTCTAAATGTCAAAGCTAATATATAGTTAGTTACCATTTGTCCCTGGCCAATAAATATCAAAACGAGATGGAGAGAAGGCTTAACTTCTATTTCTCCTGTGCCTGACCATACTGGCTGGGAATTCTGGGGGGATTTAGTTCCAGCATACTTTGAAGACTCCAAATTACACAATGTCAGTTTAAGGAAAGCTGTCATTTAAGAAAATCTGTAGCCTATGCTTTTGTATTGCAAAAAAAAAAAAAAAAAAAAGTTTACATCTGCAGTTCTTAATGTTTATAAAAATATAGGAACATTCATTTTAAAAGTTCATTTCGATGAATGAAGGCTAATTTTACACAGTAAACAATTATTTCACTTTGGAACATGGTATACATTGAGCTCCCCACGCCCCTTGTTTCCATAATTGCCTTGTTTGTAATTTTAAGATTTCAGCCCAGGCAATAATAAAGCTTTTCGTGATAACGAAGTTGGTTAAGAATAGATATCACCATCTTTCCAGAAAGATAAGCCCCAGTTTAAGAAAACACCCCATGAAGAAATCGTGTCTGCATTCATTACAATCCTTTCCACAAATCTTCCATTTTAAAGGTAAATTATTTGGGAGAAAAGCTTCTTTTCTGTCGGTTAAATACAATACAACTATCAACAGTGTTTTATAAATCACTTCTTTTCTCTATTATGTTTTGAGTTGCCAAGGAGAAGAGCAGCTTACACAACCACAAAGAAAGGCTCTACAGGGCACACTGGTTAACCAGGAAGGTGTTGTCTCTACTCCAGCTTGAAGCAGTTCATTAATAACAAACAGCTCAGTCATCTTTAAGGCCGCCAAACACAGCAGAGGGGACACTCTTCTGTTCCAGCTGCACCTCTGCAAGAGAAGAATTAGAATAGTTAGTAGAAAAAGGCCAGGCGTATTGGCTTTTCAAAAACAAGAGTTCCTACTCACCAAAGTCAACAGCCACAGCCCCAGATTCACAGGGGTAGGCAACCTTGACTCTTTTATGGCTCCTGGACTTCAGCTCCCAGAATTCCTGAGCCAGCATGGCTCAGCTTGGAAACCTCTCCATTTCTCCTCAGCATGGCTGGCTCAGGAATTCTGGGAGTTGAGGTCCACGAGTCATTAAAAGAGCCAAGGTTGCTTACCCCTGCCCCAAAAGAAGGCTGCTGCGTTCCCGTCCTCCCTCTTACCATCAGGCTCATTGTCTTCACTCTCATCGCTGTCATCCAAATCAATGTCTATCTCATCAGGGTTGGCCTGCTTGGAAAGTTCAGCCAATTCACTGCGGGAAGCATCACTCCTGAAAAATAAGCAAAAGGAGATGAGTGAACTGACAGCATGATTCTGACTGGAACTGTCCTGTACTTATCCTTCCCTAATAAAAGGAGCTGCCTGTCCTTTTGCCCCGACTTTATGTTTTCAAAAACCAAAAACATACTGAAAAGTTTGACGTTTGTACATCTGAAGTAGAGATGTCCGTACTGTCATATAAACTTTCTAATGTGTTATGAGTGAATTCATTCTTTGGTTGAGTGGGATGATTAACTAGCAGTATAATTTGTGGAATCTTGTGTCAGGGCAGGGACCGGACTGAAACTTTCACAAGTCTCAATAAACCTAATTAAAGTTCTGGGATGATGGGAATTTTAATCTAAACATTTTCGAAACACCCAGTTATCTTCACTGCCTGGAAGAATCAGCTTCACAAGCTGTGATGATTACAACTTGTCCTTTGGAAAGTTATTCTCTCAGTCTAGGCTATCTTGGTACAGTTACTGAGGTAAGGAGGAAGATAACTTTGTCTTCCAAAGGAGTTTCTAAGGATGAATGTGGAAAGAATTTGCCCGAGACCAAGAAAGAGAAGAAACCAAACTGTGGAAATTGCCAAGAAGAAAACAAACCAAGAAAAATAAAAATCTCGGGAGCTTAACAAAAGCTTCAGACAACTGTTAGAAGAGACAAGAAGCAATATTATAACAACATTTATAAAGACACTGAGGATGGGTACACATTGAAGATGGAAAAACAAGGAAAGTTTCAAAATATCTCCGAGCTCAGAATAAGGTCCCAACCTTAAATTGGTATGCTAAAAGGAAGTCCGTGGAGAGATAGTAACTGATTTAAAGGAGATCAAAGGAAATGGAAGGAATATGCTGAAACATTGCACAGTAGAGGTGGTCAGTATCCATAAACCCTAAAAGATACTCCCTACTTACAAGAACCTCTAGTACTAGGAAGTTAATTATTGCCAAACTGGAAAACTACAGAAATAGAGTAAGCAGCAGAAGAAGAATCAGTAAAGGTTCTAATCAAGCTATGCAAGCAAATCTGGAGAACGATATAAAGACCAAGAGATTGGAAGAGGATGATTTACATTCCAATTCCAAAAAAAATGAGACTTGATAGAAGGTGCAAACTGTCATAGAATAGGCTTAATTATATATGCTAGCAAAATAGCGCTTAGGATCATATAACAATGAATTACATGGAAAAAGTAATGCCAGATTTCGAACTAAATTTAGATAAGGCTGACTAATAGACATTTCAGCAGAGGCAAGCTGGATAATTGGAAAAACCAAAGAAATCAATACAGTCAGTCCTTGCTTACCAACTGCCTCGTTTACTGACTGTTGGAAGTTGTGACTGTGGCCAATCCTTTTATATTTACAATCACCAGTGTCCCACAGCCACGGGACTGCCATTCAGATGCTTTGCAATCAGCACACATTTACAATTGTCACAGCATCCCACAGCAAGAAAATTATCATTTGTGTGCTTTCCAACCAGCTTGAAACAAGCAGTTAAGGGAGCTGCAGAAGTAAAATTGCAAGTTGTGGCCATGTGATGTTTCACTTAATTGAAAGTCCAATTCTGCCATCTCTTTTACAGCCCGAAAAATAAAGATGGTCCGTTCTGAGCCTCTTGCCCAGCTCTTTATCCAGCTGCAGGCTGTGCTGTCTCTTCTGATCATTCCCGAGGGAGCATCCTTTTATTCCATCACCCAAGGTCTTCCTCACATACTATTACATCATTTGAAGATGGAGCTTTCTGGAAAAAGCTATAATACTTCGAAAGGTGGAAGGAAGGAGACCAGCAGCAAACTGGATGGACTCAGTAAAACAATGGCATTGGGTGCACTGGTGGAAGACCTGAAGCACCTGGGGTTAGGGACAGCATCATGGAGAAAATCTAATCTATGGGGTCACTAAAAGTTGATATCATCTTGATGACACATAATCAAATAAGTAGTCAATGAAATCAGAAAGCCAAATAGCACTCTCTGCTGGGTTCCCAATGTGTCATAGATCATTCAGACCGCACTGTAGAAAAAGTACCAAAACTGTAAACGCAAAGAAGGCTGTCCTTGGCAATACTTCGGTGTCATCTTTCCCTAGAAAAATACGTCTGATCGCTTGAAAGCTGAAATAGCCATTTGGTAGAAAATTGTGCTAGTTCCTTGAGATAACACCACAGTCCTGTTCTCATTCTAGTCATGTTAGCAGCTAGGGCACTATCTAACTGTTTGTTCCCGATTCTTGATGGGTTAAATTAAATATATATTGTCTTGAGTTCCTGAATACAAATCAAATAATCAGTCACATTTTTCCCCATCATGTTTTTTTGGGGTGATGTTATGAATCCAAATAGTCTTCTCAGGGGGAAAGATGAACAAGTCTGCTTATAGTACTCTCACCTGACAAACAAGATCTTCTCCTTAGCTCGAGGCTGATCTCTTTCTGCTTCGGCTGCCAGTTGTTCTGCTCGCTGCTCTAAGAGCTTCATGTCATCCATGCCGCTCTGTCCTGGTGCTAAGTCAGACACTGAAACAAGACAACGTTAAAGAGCAGGATGAGCATCGGGGGTGGCTAGAAGAGAGCAGGAGATGTAGCTCATCTCCGTCTAAGAGAAGGCAAGAAGTACCTGTGCCTGTGGCATTGCTGTAAACCTTTAGCATCTGAGAAGCCATGAAGTTAACCTGAGTATTGTAAGTAGCCTGCACACTTCGCTTAATGCGTAGCATTTCTCGGATAGTGTCTTCGTTCCCATGCCGAATCTCAAATTCTTTCCATGTCTGCCAGAAGTTGGCAGTAGTCTGGGAAAGGAAACCAAAAAGATGTGTGTTTTGAAGACTGCTGGGAAAGAGACAGTGGCAAAATTCAATAGACAGCCAATTCAAAGACTGCTGTTTCCACTCTCCTCTGAGCTTTCTGATATATATAAAAAAGGAAAGATTTAATGAGGTTAAGAGGACAGAGGTCAACTATTATTGTGCTCTCTTATCTTCTGTATCAGGAACGGGCAGTCATAAACAACAGAGACACATCCATTGCATAAGCAAAGAAACACAAACACACACTTTTATTTATCCATCAGGTGGCAGATGGAAGAATCCATCCTTAGTTTTTCCAAAACTACATATAAGATTGTTGTGTCGCAATGCATACACAATGGTACCCTTGTTCTCAACTGCTTTGAAACTCACTGAATTTGGTACTCAATGCATTTTGATGCGAAAATTTTATGCCGGTACTCCTTATTTGTTTAGTACTCAAC